CTGTATATCGATGAAACTAATGTGAAAGAGAAAGAATAGACATGCTCAGTTAAAGAACATCATCTATGAGAAATGCCAGTTGTCTGTAAATAATACCAACATACGCTATGCAAACATACGCTAAATCCTGAATGATGTCAATAAGCGGTTTTAAACAATGTAAGAGAAGGAGCGAAAGCGAAAAGGACGAAAAAAGCACTAATCAGCGGAAATCAATCAATTCAGATGGCAATTAGTTCGCAGCTTTCAAAACCTCCACTATGATATACTCGCGTAGTGCACTTCGGTACAAAATCGCACCAAAATCGGAACGAAACTAAATTGATAACTCCCGCCTGTGCACCGATTTTGCTGCGAACGTCCATTTTGTGGGCGGATCTCCTGCGCGACTCAACCGCGAATGTCTGAGAACATGTGGAGTTGCGCGAAAAGCAATCTTAGGGTTGAGCCAAAGTGCGCGACATACGGGCGTACGTGACGTACGCAGCGTACGCTCGGTATGTTTCATCATAGGAGCGTGCGCAGCGTAGTCTGTCGCTGCGTAGCCGCGTACGCCGCGCAGTCTGGCCCAACCCTTGAAGGCAGCGTCCGGATAAGGTGGGGTTTTTGAGGTTCCAGTATCATGCGAAAGTGGCTCCCTTCAGACAAAGCGTGGCGCAAGTACGAGGTTCTAACCTTCGACCTAAAGCAAGAAAAACGATCGGGAAATGGGGAAATTTGACTTAAAACGGGTCCTCCGACCTGTTTCAATTCTTGCCATGCGACAGAGCCCGCATGCCGCAACAGTCAAAATGGTAGGGCCCCGCAAGGACTCTGCGTCTCAGCCTTGATGGGGACCGTTGCGGATAGCCCCGGTAAGTGGTTCTTCTGAAAATCGAGTTTTTTTGAAAACAGTGTCCCGGCAGTTCAAGCCCTGGGGATATAACTGTGGTGAGGTTCCTGGCCGTCCCAATAACCTCCAGGCTCAGTCCGGCTGGTTGATGTTCGCGCTAAGAAAATAGCCTCGAATCGGGGCGCGCAACCCAGTCGGCGCGTGCTTGGATGACTTTGCTTACCTGTTCGGCGGGGACACCACGACAGCTTCTGCATTTTTGCATGCTATCCAAAGCAAAAATTCAGGCGGCACGGTCTTCGTGCCGGGGCCTCCCAACTTTCCGGTGGAACTCTCGTCCAAGCTGCGTTTTTGGAAATTAGATAAATACCTCAGAAACAGTCTTTTCATCCAGTTTGAAGCTCAAATTCGGGTTCTTCTACGGGTCGAAAAGTCTAAAACATGCAAAAAGGTGGAACTGCAATAATCTGCCATGACATGCCTTTAGAGACATGCAAACTGATCATGTTTGCAGATACGAAGAAAGATGCATTGATACATAAAAGCACTCCAGCACGAGTAGGAATTGACAGTGTCCTCTAAATTAATCAAGAATTATATAAGAAAAAATGCCTATTTTAAAGGAATTGAATTCACGGCTAGTAAGTGAAAAGATAATGTAGCGAATGACAATGAACGTATTTGAACTGCTTATTGAAACCCACTATCAGTCCAAGTTTCAATACTTTTCCTTTCCTCTCTTCTATAGTCTTGGGAAGTCTTCAACGAAGTTCCTGCTCCAAACGCGCAGGGCCAGTCGTCTTGCCGGCAAAGCCATCAGCGAAAATCTTCATATCAGTTCTAGCGTATGGAATTTAATACGGATTAAAAGCCAAAATCATATCATCAAGAATAAACAATGCCAAGTTTGTTTGAGACAACCTTTCTAGGCGTGACTCAAGTATTATTTCGCGGACTACGAATACACAATGCAAAATTACCAAACTCAGCTCAGCGCGGCACTTGTGATATTTAGTAGTGCCTTGGGTATGGTAGGTTTGTAACTAGTCAGAATTTTAACTAGTCAATTTTTTTCGATTTTTCGATTCACCTGCAATATGCTGATTTTTGCAGTGAGTTGCTTCCAACGTGGGCAAAAATCTAGGAAGAATCGTGGAAAAAGCCTACTCACCATAAACCTACCGACAGCACTCCAATACATTGGGCCTAAGGCATACCTCCAGCGACTCCGTCATTACGATTTTCGATCGCTGCGACTAGACTGCCCGGGGCGACCGTTCACTGCGCGAAAATCGCTCATCATTTGTTTACCAGACATACCCAAAGCGATTTCATAGATCTCACACACCACACCACATTATACGAGCCTTTAAAAAATTTGCTCTATCTGAAGTGCATTTATTTAAGGAAATTCAACAGAATGTGGCGTCATATGCTTTCAGAGAACATTACAACAAACGAGGGAAGATATGACTTTTGGTGCTTTTGAAAGCAAAAAATGCAGTGATCGCTTCTATTGGAGTAGGATGACAGGCCGTAGGTGTTGCAAATGTTTCATATTTTGGGATGTAATTGTACAAAAAATTTGAGAGTTAACGAATGCGATAGTGATTAGAAAAACCAGGTGGCTTTATAATTTTGTCCAGCTTTCAAAGAGAGCATTTTCGAATTTTTTCTTTTTCTTTGTTCACTCAACCAGACTGGAATTCGTTTTGAGGGGTCATGTTAGGTTGAGATGCGCACAATACAGCAAAGTTTCAGACAGATTTGTTGACAAAAACGAAAATTACGACAAATTCTAGAGTAGCTTTATAATTATGTCCAGCACTGTAGTATAGTTTGTATTATTCATAAGGACGTTTGAAAACTCTGTTAATATTCGTGTAGTTTGTATTAATATGATATAAGATGATTTCTAAGTAAGCGCTTGCAAACACTAGAGGAGATTGTGTCCTTGTCATATCCATTTGATTGCATATATTCTCTTTAATTGTAAAATTTTTTCAAGAAAACCTGAGAATAAAGTGCATGTACGAGCAATCCTAAGTGTTTCAGTATAGATAGTAGCTTTTTTGATTTACATAGAATTATTTGAGGTGTAATGTATAAAACGCTCAACTTCGAAGTCAAAATTATCTGTCTTGTTATTGTTTTCCAACTTGATATCTAGATGAAGGTAATTGCAATGGTTTTTACAGGGTGCGGCAAAAGTCTGGGAGCCGAATTTGCAGTGGTTGTAAATCAGGAAGCCCCTAACAATTTGGATTCCAGATTTGTGCCACATAATGCTACGATCATTCCCTACAAATTGCGTTTTACCTAGCTGAAGATGGTTTTCACATGTTTTTATAAGAATTGGATTTAGCAAATTGGTGCTTTTACAGAGCGAGAAAATCAGAATTTTTGGTATCTAAAATTAATTTCGTAAAAAGATACTGCAAATGTTCTACAGCACTCTAATACATAGAATGTAGAGGAGGCTTTGCGCTATCATATCGTAATAGTTGGGCTCGCTAGAAGCTATTCCTACGAAAGCGCAAATAAAAATTTGCGAATGTTACCTGCGTGCCAGTAGCCATTTGTCTTTAAAACAGATTTGAAGGCCCGTAGAAGAGCAGCAGGTGCTGAGTTTTGAGCTATATTCTTTCTGTGAGTATTCTATGAAAGAATGTACTTGGGTTCGATCAATAGAACAAATTTTAAAGCTTTTTAGATCATTTTTTTCTCGCTCCCGTTTACGCAACCGCATCCGAATTTCCAGTATGCGAGCACACTTGCCTTCACTTAAAATCCCAAATTTTTTTTCTGGATAATGCAAAAAGATTTCTTTGTGATATGTTGTAGCCAAAAGCGTGCTCTATAATATTGCACATTTGCCTGGTGAAGGAAGCAGTTATCGTGAAGGCGTTGGAGCAACTTCATTACGACCACCTGCGTGCCACGACAAGCAGACTCGCCAAGATTTCGAAAGGCTGTTTTGAAGGCAGAAGAGGCAATCCCAAAATCTGAGAGCTGCGCTGTATTTATAGAGGTTTGATCTATGTGTGCACCATTTTTTTTGTTTTCAGGTGCTTTCTTTCTGATGTTATCTGAAAAAGTATTAGGCTCCCAGACTTCTGCCGCACCCTGTATTTATATATGAGTTGTTTCTATTCCTAGTTGTAAACTTGTTGGATTGATTCATATATTTCATGCTCTTCAAAATTGTTTATAATTATTCAGTCATCCATGTATCTAAAGGGAAAAATTTGTTTACTATAATTATAATTAGGTGCAGAATAACTATATTCGTACCAAGATAATGTTAGATCTGCCAATAAAGGACTGAAATTACCTCCCTGAGGAACACCTGAATTTGTCAAATGTGTATAAGCCGAATCTACAGAAGCTATTTTCAAGGATATAATCAAAATTTTATAATAAATCTTCTAAAGCATAATATCTATAATTTGATTTAGCGTGTTATATCAGTGTAAAAGACTTTATTGTAGCCATTGTATACTATGCATTTCTTTGCATTTTTGAAGCATAATGAAACAAGGTTTTTGATATTTCTCAAACAGCGGATAGGACTCCGGCGGAGAAATGGCAATGCCGCGGGGTTTCCCCAGCGGTGGGTCTGCCACTCGTCCGCCGGAGCCCTCCCATTTCTGCTCCGGAAACCTCCCATTTCTGCTCCGGAGCCCTTTCATTTTGTGTTCCGGAGACCTCCCATTTCTGCTCCGGAGCCCTCCCATTTTGTGCGCCGGAGCCCCCCAATTTTGTGCTCCGCAAGTCTGCCGCGGCATACTGTAATTAGCCCTAATTAAGCTCCAAATCCCAATTTTGTCTCTAAACCCCACCCAAATTAGCCGAATAGCACCCCCCCCCCCCCCGGGTAGGAGTACAGCGCGACCCTCACCCCCGTACTCTACCCCCCCCCTCTCACCCCTAGCGTTTGTGGATAGAAGATAGAAGAATGAAGAAACAAGACATTTAATTCAAATTAACTGCAAACAATCTCCTAAATTGCAAAACAAAACTTAGCAGCTACAAAACGGACAAAGACAACAGTTGCCGGCAACCTATGGCCGTACCCTAAGCGAAAACATAAGCGAAGTAAGTGTAGTGAGTTAGACTGCTTGGAAAAACACAGCGCAAAACCTTTTGTCAGACATTTCTGACATTTTTAACATTTTAGACATTTCTGATGACGGAGGTGCATCTGTTGGATCTTCTCCAGTTCAGCACTGCCTTTGTATTCTCTCGCCATCAAATACAATCTTTGAGTTGAGCCTCAAAAAGAATTTGGGAGCCATTGAGATTCAGCGAGAGAATATAGAAGCAGTGAAACATAAAAGCAACACTGTACACTTACGCGATTGGATGATATGCGATATGATATATTTTTTGAGGTGCACAAGAATGTAGATGGCAATGCTACGATTCCAAGGAAGAGTTTTCGACAACTCGATTCTGAACACAAATGTTAGTGCAAAAGTCATCAATTTCCTATCAAAGATTCCGTTTCCTGAACAGACGAGACTAGGAACCTACTAGGATGCATAAATAACACCGTGTCAACTCGTTTTTTATCGAGAGGACGAAAGAAAATCGAATTGGCGCTGATCGGCAATACTAAAACATTGAGTATATGAAGCTAGAGGTCACCCATAAAAGAACAAACGAACCAATGCAAGAGTCAAGATTGTGTTCCGCTATAGTGGCCAAAGTCAATACCACATACCGGTGTGGACTTGTGGTAAACCCAGGAGGGAACTTTTGCAGTAGCGCGTTTAAGACATGAGTTACAAACCGAGGAGTTTTTGCCAAGGTCACGGGAACATCCTTCCCGGCTTCAGCCCAATCTGTATCGACATCCTGCACGTTGTTACTTGAGAAGAGAATCTCGCAAAAGAAAGCAACTGGAGTGGGAAAAACCTTACCTTGCTGGTCATTGTCATTTCCCGCGTGGCAAGATTTATCATCAAATGAACTAGTTGTTCATCCAGTTCGTTGACAATTTTCGTATCCGATACTACATTGTTGATAGCTTCCAGAACAAGAGCCTTATTTGATGCTGAAAGCTAAATTCAAAATAGCGATCAGCACAGGCACGAACAAGCTTTCTTAAGATAACCTATAAATCACCTTGGGATTCTGCAGCAGGTAGTGATGAGAAGCTGTGAGTAAAGTATACGATTGGTCAACTCCGACAGCTCTTAAAGACTCGGACACCTAAGCGAACTTAACTGAAAAAAGCCATTACATTATATATAGGCGAATCGCAGGCAGAGATAGATTGCTACTGCGGACCCTGTAGGCGTTTCTCAGATTAAACACACTTTCGCCCTCTTAGCCGTTTACTGCCTCTCCGCAGCACATCTCTCCTATGACGCAACGGCGTCCAGCCTTTGCGTGCAATGAATCGTCTATTGAGAAACACAACGATTCTCAAAAAGTCGTAAGGAAAACTTGAATGTTTATGCACAAAATAATTGGTGCAATTTTACTCTCATTCGCTTTTGGCCGTTTCCAAGCGAAGTTTACAACTTTTTCCAAATCAGCGAATGTCTCAACATGTCTCTTGCAATATTCTGCATGAAGATGCGTCGCTTTGAGAATTGCAAGAAAATTCTTCAAACTGCTAATTCTTGAAATTTTGAAACTTTCGTCATCGCGGTCGAGCAGAACGACATTACAACACCAGTGCCTCTAATTAAGGCAATCAGTGAAAAAGAAAGGCAATCAGTGAAACAAGAGATGAGCGAGAACAAGAAATCGCTGAAAATACACCTCGATAAGTGGCTCATAGGACTTTGATTCAGATGTTATGTCCGGTAGATTTCAGATATAAAGTTGCCTAGAAACCCTAACGCTTACCTTAGCATGCATCTGCCCGAAAAGCACAGATAATGTTCGGAACGAGTTCAAATTAATCACAAAAACCACTCTCAAAAGTCAACGATGTCTCAGCAAGTCGAAAAGAGCCAAACACTGAAAGTGATTGAGTGCATCCGCACGAAAATTTGAAACATAAACCTGAAAACGAGGAACTTACAAAAACATAAACGCCAACGCGACGAAGAGCAACGCGGAAAAGAAAAAAACGGTAAAGAAACGCGGAAAAACAACAAAATCAAAGAAACAACGACTAAAATATGGAGAAAGAGCGTAAACAGAGGACTCATCACCGTGGAGTTAGACGTTTGCTTGCCTACGCGCCAAATCGATACGCAGCCTGCTCCGGAGCCCTCCCATTTCTGCTCCGGAGACCTCCCATTTCTGCTCCGGAGCCCTCCCATTTTGTGCTCCGGAGCCCTCCCATTTTGTGCTCCGGAGCCCTCCCATTTGTGCTCCGGAGACCTCCCATTTGTGCTCCGGACCCCTCCGATTTTCTGCGGCGCGGCTCGTCCAAATCTGGCGGACTCGCGGCGGGCAAATTTCTCCGGCGCGGCTCTGCCAAATCTGGCGTACCTCCGGAGCAGAAATGGCGTACCTTTGCAGCAGGGCCGGAGAAGGGTCCCACTTGCCTGCCAGTGATGTCACCGCGACCTACAAGAAGGGACCGCCCAATCGCCCCGCTCTCATTGGTCAACTGGGTCCGGCGCGACTCTGGCAGATTCCGACTGTCCGGCGGAGGGGTCCGGTCGATTGTCTGAGTTGTTTTTATAGCATCATGTGGAAGATTTGTAAACATATGCGTGAAATCTACAGAATACATACTCATATTCTTAGTTGTGATATTTTGATCCTATCAGTAATTGTCTATTGACCAACATCCTATGAAATAATGATTTCTGGCTTTAATACTATATAAAAATCTTTTGAAATGGGATTTTATAGATGTAAAATTTTTCTTAACTCTATTGTTAACGGTTTGATGCTACTATGTGTAGCATCAGTAATAAGTCTAAACTTGATTGAATTTGCATGCAGTTTGGGTAAGCAATATATCAGTGGTACGCTATTGTTATTTTGTAATGGTAGTCTACTTGCATTACAGAATTTCTTATGCCTATCGATTATTTCAGTAGCACTCCCACTGTGATACAAATCACCTGTATCACCTGTGTTCCCGTTGATCTTCGCTTGACACGAGCGTGACGCCTCCATTCGTCCCTGTCGCGAGCGATCGTGACCAATGTCTTCTCATCGCACCAGGTACACGAGGAACGCTCTGAAAATCCTTAAAGGACTTTGTGAACATGTCCGACCATCGGTAGGCGGTCTTCCTGCGTTTGACGTCTAGCGGTGTCCAATCTGTTACAGCTCTGGTCCACCGATTGTCGTCAAAACGCATCACGTGTCCGGCCCATCTGATTTTATTCTGTTTGACGAATGCGACAGCATCCCTGATTTTCGATCGTTGACGTAGGGTGGAGCTTCGTATTCTTTCCTTCACTTGCGCGAGTCGGGACACTCCTAACATCGCTCTCTCAACAACGCGTTCGATGACGCTCACCGCATGTTCGTCCTGCTTCCTCATGATCCACGTTTCCGAAGCGTATGGCAAAGCAGGCAGAACCGTCGTGTTGAAGAGATGGGCGCAGAGCCAAATGTTCTTGGTCTTCTTAACTACGTCCTCAATTGCCTTGTATGCTCCCCAAGCTGCTCATTTCCTCCTGCTCAGTTGTGGAGGCTATCGTTCATCATGTTGACTTCACGACCTAGGTAGACGTAGCTAGAGCATTCGGCGATCGTCATTCCATTCAGCGTGAAAGGAGCATCAGGAACCCATCCGTTTCTCATGAACATCGTCTTCGTCAGATTTAGCTGCAGACCGATCTTTCCACATACGTCATCAAACTGGGCCAGCATTCGTTCCGCTTGCGTGATGTCCGGTGTAATTAGGACTATGTCATCAGCGAAGCGAAGGTGGTGTAGTTGCCGGCCGCCGACTTTCACACCCATGTCATCCCACTCTAGTGTCCGCATGACGTTTTCGAGAGCAGCGCTAAAAAGTTTCGGCGATATCGTATCGCCTTGTCGTACTCCTCTCTTCACGTCGATGGTAATGTCCTTGTAGAATGGTGTGATCTTCGTTGCGAAGTCGTTGTACAGCTCACGAATCATCTTGATGTACTGAGTTGGTACACCTTGACTGCTCAAGGCATCGATGACAGCCTCAGTTTCAACCGAATCGAATGCCTTCTTCAAGTCGATGAAGGTGAGACAGAACGGCATCCTGTACTCTCGCGATACTTCGATGAGCCTTGTTATCCTGTGCATGTGGTCCATAGTGCTAAATCCTGTCCGGAACCCAGCTTGCTCGCATGGTTGTCTTTCGTCTAATTCTCTTCCGATCCTGTTAAGAAGTACTCATGTGAAGAGTTCGTAGACTGTAGACAATAAGCGGATAGGGCGATAATTTCCGATGTCGCGGGGGTCTCCCGTCTTGTACAGCAATACGGTCTTGCTGGTCTTCTATTGACATGGAATCGTGCCTTCCGTCAGGTACCGCGTAAAAAGCCTCACCATAGTTCTAATAAGAACTGGTGGGAGATTCTTTAGGTGTTCCGGTTTGATCCTGTCGGGCCCGGCTGCTGTACGGCTTTTTATAGACATGTTAGCATGTCGAACCTCTGAAGAAGAACTGATGGTGCAACGTATCCTTCCTCCTTGAGATGGCCTGATGCTAGGTGGACGTGACTCGCAAAGAGATCCGAGTAAAATTCGTTGATGACTTTCTCCATCGACATTCGGGAAGATGTCGTGGTTCCATCAGAGCGGTGGAGTGCGATCATCTTGGTCTTGAAATTGACGATGCTTCGGCGTTCGTTGCATATACTTCTTCCGGCCTCCGCGGCGTCAACCATAACTTGTGCTCTTCTCTCTTTGTGATCTTCTTTTATCGCTTCTCTGCATTTCTTCGCGAGCTCAGACGTAAGTTGGTAATTGCCTGACGCTTGTGCTCGTCCACGTTGGCGTATTAGCTCTAGAGTCTCCGCTGACAGGCGCTTCCTGGTACTTATTGGGCTTTCAGCTTCCTTAGCACAATCGTAGAGATGCTGGATAAATCTTCCATATTCCTCGTCGATGTTGTCGATCACGGTATCTCGCCAAAAGCCGGATATGGACGAAAACAGGTCCCAGTTGATCATAGCCATGGGATGGTGTTTCCTGAACTTAATGGCTCTTTCTCCATTCCGTGAGAAATAGAACTTGACACGAAGGAGACTATGGTCCGATCCCGTGTAAAACTTCGGAACAACAGCGACGTCGGTCAGGCAATATCTTCTATTGACGATGATGTGATCAATCTCGTTATGGTACTCTCCACCGGGCGATTCCCAGGTCCAGCGTCGGGAAGGGGGCTTTTGAAACTGCGAGTTTCCATGGATGGTTCTCGTCGTCATGATGAACTCGGAAGTCTCTCCCCTTGTTCGTTCCACTGTAGTCCATGGGTCCCGATGTGAAGTTCCGCGGGCGACCTTCTTGCTCCGATCTTTGCGTTGAAGTTACCGACGATGACCTTGTAGAAGGTGTGCTCTTCTCTGTAGAACTTCTCCAAGTCCATGTAAAAGGCTTCATCTTCGGCGTAGCTTGATGTTGGGGCGTACGCTATGAAGAGTCAAGGCCATTGATCGACATCGTGATATTCGTAAACGTCCGATCCGGGTTGTGAGTTGTTCGAATGAATCGATGCTCACGGACAAACTCGTATTGGCAAGGACTCCTACACCGCCGACTCCCTTGCTGTCGCATGTTCCTAAGAACAGTTCACCTCCAGTATCAAACGTGGCGTTCAGCGGGTGGTGTCTCCTTGTCTCGGTCAGTCCGATGACGTCGTACTTGATCTTCGTTGCTTGCATCAAGAGGTCTTCGATGGATGCGTCCGATGCGAGCGTCCGTGCGTTGTAAGTACACATCGTCATCATTGTCCGTCTCGTTTTCGGCAGCCTAGATCGCCCTTCAAACCTTGTCCCCACCGGCGCTGCCTTACCAGTGGCTCTTCCAAGATTAAGGGAGCTTTTCATTATATCACTGTGTTTACCGATTGATTACTCGCAGGAGCAGCTTGTTGGGCTCAAATTTCCTGCGGGGGACGGTCGGAGCTTATTTGTTAGAGGCGACTTCGAGCCCGCCTCTCCCACACCTACCCGGGAAATAGGTATGCAAGCTTTTGATGGGGCAGGGAGTCCGCCCCCCGGCTCCGCTTGCTTATCAGAGCAGGCGCGGGGTCGCTTTTGGTGGGCGATTAGCCCCCTATCCTCCACCTGGGGACGCCCCACGTAGCCTCGCAACTAAGCGGCTGGGATCCCTCTGAGAGGGAGATCCGTGGATACAAATCATATATTACATTTTTACTAAATAGCGCGTTTTTGTTTTTATCTATTGTAATGCCAAGTTCTTTCATCATAATTTGAATATTTTTTGCATATAATACCAAGGTTATTGCTTGCTTTATCTAAACGACAAATTACAAAGTTATGCTTACAAGGGAACGATCCCAACTTAAGGTGGCGAATTGGAATAAACCGCATACCATTAGATGCGTCTTGATGAGCTGATTCCAAATCTGCCTTCCTTATCTGCGACAACGTTATCTGGAAGAAGTTATGAAAGGTTAAAAATGTGAAGTAACGGGGGTTTTGATGCATAATTTGCTTTAAAATCCAACTTGGAAGTGCACGACTAGCATCTTATTGAGTGTACTGATTTCAAGGAATGCTCACACTCTAAAGAAACACAAATAAGTGTTTTTGAATAACTAATTTTCGAGGTATTGCTATGTATATTTGCCAAATTTGGACTTTTCATTGCTCATAGCTTTTACCAAAGAACTTTAGTTGCCTTTTAGCTGTTCAAAAACATTTATTTGCGTTTCTTTTAAATGTGAGCATTTCGTAAAATCAGTACACTCAATATGATGCTAGTCATGCACTTCCAAG